TTGGTTACAATAGTTATTCCTGCCAAACCACTTATGTGGTTTGTAGTAATACTAAGTATGTAACTGACTAGCTGTTGCTCGCGACTTTGCCTGCGTACAATTAAACAATAATAAAAATACATGGTCTATTTTACTCACTGATAACGTAGCTTTTAGTAGTGAAAGAATTTTTGAAATAGGCCCAGTAGTTTTTGAGTTATTTCAATGCATACAAAAATACAAACCATTCCTATTTATAAGGATAGAATAGACGCCAAAAACAATAACATCTGTTGCACGAATTGGCTACCTTGCCTCCTGCCAAATTCAGGTAACCCATTGCTCGTTTTAACATATAAATAAAAAAAATCAGTGTATTAATATGTGTGTTAATATGAATAAAAAAAGTGTATGTTAACGTAGAAGACAGACATTTGTCTATTATTCCAGTACATTTCATTAGTCATTTCCAGAATGACTAGCAAAAAACTTTAACAACTAACCGCAACATGTAACGAAGACAAGGAAAACGTGTTGAACATTAATTACTTAGAACAAGATAAAATCACTCTTATGCACTTCCTTTAAAGACTAATTTCCATTGCACGCAATAATCATCATTAATAATGCGCTATAAAATAAATATTCAACATTTTTTTATGTAAAAAACAAGTATTTTTTATAACGTAACTGAATACCATTTTGATATCAATGAAGCTAAGTATTTTTTTACAGATTTACGCTTAAATATGCCCAAACGTGTACTTTTTAGACGCATTTGAACTAAAATCGGGTATTGAAATTACAAATGCAACGAAAGCATGCATCGAATCACCGTATATGGCCTCATCTATTTCTTTACTAATTTTATAAAGAAGAAATATTTGTATATTTGTATGTATTGAAATAACTCAAAAACTACTGGGGCGTTTAAAAAAAAACAACATTAAAAATCTAGGTTATCACTGAGTATTATAGGCTCCATTTTTTATTATTTCTAACTAGCTGTTCCCGTGCGACTTCATTCGCATAAAGTTATGAAAACATTATTTTATTGTTTACATGTGTCAAATTATCAATTGCAAATGTCAAAATGACTTGACGATGACAAACCATGGCAACCTTGCTTCCTTGATGTTGGAAGCAACTTATGGTCTCTTTCCCACATTAGGGTTTTTATTTAAAATATTTACCCCCTAAGTTTAATAGCGTGAAAATATATAACCTAAAGGGTGACGTAAGTGTAAGACTTTATTAAAAAAAGAATGATTCAACAATATGCTGTAATTGCTGACATATTAGGCAACAAGGAAGTATGTGTTTACGCTTTATTATTTTAGTATAGAAGTATAGATTTCACGCGGACGGAGTTACAGGCGAAAGCTAGTAGGCTATAAGCCGTGGTATTTTGTGCCTATTTGATTGTGGCCATTGTTGCTGTCGGTAACAGCGGAGTTGGTAACTTGTACTAAAAATTGTAAAATCATAAATTCAATTATATTTTTGTTATGGTCCCTTTCGTACATGAAGGTTTATTCCAATTTAATAGCGTTTAAATAGCTTAAAGCGTGTCGTAAGTGTAGTATTTTAAAGAAAGAATTGAATGAGTTATATTAATAAAAAACAAAAGAGAGTACCCTATATGTTCCTCCAGACTATCCCTGCATCTATACCGAATTTCATCAAAATTCAGCCGTGTAGGCTTACAAACGCTAACATCCATCCATCTAAACATTCGCATTTATAATTTTAATATGATTGATATACATGTAAATGACTGAGATGACGGATGATAGAGTGCTTTGGAGGACGAAAAACCCGGTGCGCTGACACTACGGGAGTAGGATAAGGCAGGGGAGATGATGATAATGTAAGCTGAGAATACTTAACGTATGTTTAATTAATTAGTAAATAATTTTAAAACACTTAAATAAGAGTTCTATATTCCACAAACAAACATTCCTACAAAGAAGTTAAATGAAATGAGACCATACACGCTCACCTTTGCTTTGTTTCAAAAAAGTGGTTTTTACCTTTGTCTTTTTCCCTAACATAAAAGAACCTTTGTTTCACCACAGAGTAAAAAGGCGGCTGTAATTTTAAGGCACATTCGGAATGCACTGTCTGTTTTAATAAAGTCTATTTTATCTGTGGACATCTCACGTATATTTTTTTGATCGTTCCATTGATGGAACACCTCAATAAAAACGTAATAAATTCTGTGCTTTTAATTTTGTAGTATTACTAGTATTTCTTTCTTTCTATATCCTTAAGTATTTTAAACATTACCTCTCTATCCTTATTCTACTGTTTGATCAGCAGGTTTTCGTCCTCCAGGCTGTTAGATATTTCGACACAAATATTTTCCTTTAAAATATAGACAGACGGCCATATTAAAGATGCTTGTAAGTTACTTTAAAACATACAAACTAAACTCCAATGCGACATCGCAATTATATCGAACGTTCCGTGGTGACGACCAGAAAAACACTGACCATGTATTTTATAAAACTACTACTATTCCTTCCGTTTCCTAATATTTACCTAACATTATTGATGTTTTAAATAAAGATAACTTAATAGTATTAATAAATAAATTAAATAGCTTTTTAAGAATACAGAATATATCAAAATAGTTAAAAAGCTAACAAGGCTAATCAATTTTCTCTCACACTAGTTTACTTCTTCAAATGTCTCCGTTCAATAAACCGTCCATCTCTTTCTAAGCCTTCATCTCCTGGACCTCTACACTCAACCAAGTTCTTATTACATCCTTAAGTATTTTAAGAAAGAAGTATTTTTCTTATGTTGCAATCTGTACCTAGAGCAAGGTCAAAGATGTGTAGTCAACGCATTCGAACAGCGGTTTACTTTGGGATAGTCACCCAATTCGAGTAGACATTGAGCTATTCGGTGGGGACATGTACGGGCTAACATTAGAGTGATATGCTCCAAATTTTAAAGATATGTGTAACTTTCTGTATTTTCATTTCAACGTGCGTTAAAAAAGAATACTTTTTTTTATAACATAAGGTGGCAAACGAGCAACCGCCTACCTGAATCCGCCAAAATGGCGAAGAGACCGCAGCCCATAGACATTCGCAATTGCAGATGCGTTGCCCACCCTTATCCGACGGAGGATGAGATGCACATAAAGAGGATATTTCCCCTTCCTATACAGATGTATATGAGGAGATCCTCCACCGTCAAATCCACTTCCCGTTCCCATCCACTCCTTATAAGAAAAAGGTGGTAAAGAGAAAAGGACATAAATTAGGCCTCCGGCACCACACTCATCAGACGAAACACGGAATTGCTTCCATTTCACGCCTGTCTTCTGTGTGGTCGTGGTATTAAACCGGGCGAGCCGGCCCATTCGTGCTAAGATGTTACAGTGGGCAATGCCACTGTTACATCAAATCCTTTGAATCTGTATATATCATTTAAAACAATTCTTGATAGACATTTGTTGATATTGTGTTCTGAGAGTCATTCTGGTATATTCATATCTGTTGATAAAGCCCGCAACACATATAACTGAAAATTCAGACTGTTCAGTTAAAGTTTAAGGTGTGTTGCTGGCTTTATAAATTTACAGTAACATTATAAAGTTAAGTACTTTAATTAAAAGCTGCACTACAAATATTAAGCTCAAAGCATATTTATTCAGGTTGAAAAACTCAAAGAAACAAAAGAGCACAGCTTTAATGAAATAAGAGCTTTTGTTCGTGTTATTTTGTTGTTTTTAAAAAGGTCGGGTTTACGGTTTCCTGGATTTAAATTCCTCATTACATAATATCGTTTAATTTTTGTTTTGTGATTCTGTATTTGATATTTTGTTTCATTTCATAAAATTTTTATACCATAGATAGATTTTTACTGAGCCCACTTTTTACTATGCTTGGGGGATAGGCTTATTGAACTTGACTTGTAATCTTCAGATCTTGGGTTCGAATCCCGCCATGTACCAATGTGATTTTCGATTTTTCGAATTTTCATATGTACATATAATAATTTACCCGAGGTTGTTACGGTGAAGGAAAACATCGTAATGCAACCTGCACAAATCGGCGAACAAATTCAAAGATATGTGCGAAGTCAACCAACCCGCATTGGGCCAGCGTGGTTGACTATGGCCTAGTCACCCTAACTTAGCGTAGGCTCGGTGGGGACGGGATATAGTGAGCTAGTGATGACGATGTCCT